AGGTCCCTGTTCCAGGAGGATCAGCTGTTCCTCATCTACGGCAATCCATTGTCAGTATTCCTTTGGATAGAATTTGTGCCCAGCTTTTTATGTGGGTGCTGGGGATTTAAATTTAGGTCCATACAAACTCGTGCTTGTGTGGCAAGAACTCTGTTAACTGTACTAGCTCCTCAGTCCCTGGGTTTTTTTCTTTTTTGTTCTTTTGAGACAGGGTCTCCTCGTAGCCCCAGTTGACCTGGAACTTGCTATGTAGATCAGGCTGGCTTCAGTCTCACAGAAAACTGCCTGTCTCTACCTCCCAAGTGCTGGGATTAAAGGCTTGAGCCACTACACCCGGTGGTTGGGTTTGATTTTTAATACCAATCCTACCCCCAAACAAAACAAATAAATTTACAATAACAACAACAACAAACCCCCTGACCAAACTATTCCCATCATCATGACCAAAAAAAACAAAACAGAAACCAACCTGATAAAGCAGAATTTGAATTAAGGGTTAGTGAGCCTGGGTTCCGTCAAAGAACAGTGAGAGAGGCAGGGAAGACGGAGACCTGGTTGACTAGCTCCTGTTCTGCACCTTTGGATGGTAACAAGGCCTGACCTGCTTCAAGGAGGCCTGGCCTTCTGTCTCAGCAGCAGGAAGTGTAGGCAGGCAAAAGCTGGGAGGCCTGCGGCTCAAGCTGCCCTCTTGGTCCACAGGCGAGCTACCACTGTCTCTGGCCGCATGCACCAAGCAGTGGGATGTGGTGACCTATCTCCTGGAGAACCCGCATCAGCCTGCCAGTCTGGGGGCCACTGACTCCCTGGGCAACACAGTCCTGCATGCTCTAGTCATGATTGCAGACAACTCTCCTGAGAACAGTGCTCTGGTGATCCACATGTATGATGGGCTTCTCCAAGTAGGGGCCCGCCTTTGCCCTGCTGTGCAGCTTGAGGATATCTGCAACTCGCAGGGCCTCACACCCCTGAAGCTGGCTGCCAAGGAGGGCAAAATTGAGGTGAGTTCTGCCCCTATCCCTGCCTCTGTAGGCTGCAGCTGGATTCACCCAGAAATGTCTGTAGAAAGAGTCTGGAGTACTGGTCTCTCTACTTTTTGAGAGGGTTTTCAGTATGCATCTTTTTATTAACCAGCTTTCCATCACTGTGACAAAATATCTGAGAAAATGAACTTAACAGGAGGAAAGACTTATTTTGGCTTACAGTTTCAGAGTGCTGGGACTAATGGCATGTGCCACCACACCTGGCCAACTAAAATAACATTTTATTTATTATTTTTATTTTTTTGTGTATGAGTGTATTTATCACCTGCATGTGCATAAGTGCATCCATGTCGTTCAGTGCCCACAGAGATCAGGAGAAGACATCAGATCCCCTGGAACTGGAGTTATGGACAGTTGTTAGCCACCATGTGGCAAACCCAGGTCCTCTGCAAGAGCCGTCAGTTCTCTTAACTTCTGAGTCATCTCTCCAACACCAGGAGACAGTCTTTTTATATATTTTGTCTAATTTGCTGAGATATGCTATTAGATTTTCTTCACATTGGTAACTTTTTTACAATGGACTTGGTATTTTGTCAACTACAGAATTCACAATTTTTTTGAAATTTTTTTTTTTGGTCTTTTTGAGACAGGGTCTCCCTATAGCCCCAGCTGTCCTGGAATGCACTATGTAGACCAGACTGGCCTTGAACTCGCAAATGTCTGCCTGCCTCTGCCTCCCAAGTGCTGGGATTAAAGGTGTGCGCCACCACGCCTGGGTCATTGTATGCTTTTAAATATTTTATTATTTTTATTTTATGTATATGAATGTTTTTCTTTTATGTGTGTAAGTGCACCTGTGTTGTGCATGCCTGCAGAACCCAGAAAAAGGTGTCAGATCCCCTGGAACTGGAATTATGGATAGTTGTTAGCTGCCATGTGGATGCTGGGAACCAAACTCAGGTCTTCTGCAAGAGCAGCCTGTGTTCTTAACCACTGAGACATCTCTCCAGCCCCTCATTGTATGCTTTAAAAAATTTCTATGGTAGGGCTTTTTTTTTTTACTATACATGATTTAAATTCTTTTGTGTGTTTGGAGCCGGACATGGTTGTCTATATTAGTACCAGCTACTTGGGAGGCGGAGACAAGATGACCACTTGGGCCTAAGAGTTCAAGGTCACCCTGGGCAACATAGTGAGACCCTGTGTGAAGAAACCAAGCCAAACAAAACTTTTGTGTATGCAGATGTAATTTTCCTTTAAGTTCCTTGGTTTTCCTGTAACCTATTGTCTTCTACAAGATTCTATCATCTATCTAACATCTATCTATCTATCTATCTATCTATCTATCTATCTATCTATCATCTATCTATCTATCATCTATCTATCTATCATCTATCATCTGTCTATCCTCTAGCTATCTCTATCTCTATCTCTATATTTTATGTAAGATATCATGTTGTATTACAATAAACATTGTATTTTATATAGCTGTTACATATGTGTATTAGTTACTTGCTGTGTTGCTATAAAATACCTGACAACAACAACTTAAGGAAGGAAGGTTTTGTTTTTGGCTCACAGTTTGAAGGTGCAGTCCATCATGTCAGGGCAGCATGGCAGATGTTCACATTGTCTGTAGTCAGGAAGCAGAGATAGATAAATGTTTGTGCTCAGCTTATTATCTCCTTTTTCCAGTCCAGAAACCCAGTCCTCAGGATGGTACCTTTCACATTTAGAGTAAGTCTACCATCTCAATTAACCTAATCTAGGTAATTACTCACAGGCATGCCCAGAGGCTATCTCTTCACTGATTCTAGATCCTGTTGATAATATTAACCTTCACCATATGTAACTATGTTGTGTAACTTTATATTATGTGCTATATAATAACATAATTACATATGTAGTATTATCATTATATGTAATATACATACATTTTTTTTCTTCCAGACTTTTGCAATCTTTCTTTTTCCTTTTTTGTATGTTTGTTTTGAGATCCTCATTAGCCAGGCTTGCCTTGAACTCTATTTGTTTACATTTATTTATTGTATGTGTGTACATGTGGAAGCACATGAGCATTTGAACATGTGCCTTGGTGTGTGTGTGTGTGTGTGTGCATATTGAACTCAGAGGACAAATTGTAGGAACCTGTTCTCTTCCATCATGTGAATTCTGGGGATTGAACTCAGGTCATTAGGTCTGACAGCAAGCACCTTTACCCACTAGGTATGGCCTAGCTTTGGCCCAGCATTAATTCTGGGAGAGGGCCTAGCAGGCAAGCTTAGGTAACTGCCTTGCAGATCTTCAAGCACATCTTGCAGCGGGAGTTCTCAGGATTGTACCAGCCCCTTTCCCGAAAGTTCACTGAATGGTGCTATGGTCCTGTGCGTGTATCTCTGTATGACCTGGCCTCTGTGGACAGCTGGGAAGATAACTCAGTGCTGGAGATCATTGCCTTTCATTGCAGGAGTCCGGTGAGCCCATCAAGGCATAGGTGTGCCTAGAGTCTGACAGAGGGCAAGGCCCTCCATCGCTTTATAGCTATAAGGGCTGGAATGAAGGCAGGTGGGAGGTACCTTTCAGGGTCCTGGGTGGTGTGGCAGCCTGCTCCCCATCTCCCTCCCTCCATTCCCTTGGTCCTTGCATGGGGCCTGCCATGAAGTGGGTGCCTGTCTGTACCAACTATCCATCTGTATCCTACTTATCTATGCCTGTGACTCCCCATTCCCTATCCCAGCACAGACACCGCATGGTGGTTTTAGAGCCGGTGAACAAGCTGCTGCAGGAGAAATGGGATCTGCTCATCCCAAGATTCTTCTTCAACTTTGCGTGTTACCTGGTTTATATGCTCATCTTTACCACTGTTGCCTACCACCAGCCCACCCTGGAGAAGGCAAGAGCTGGGTGGGGCCATCCTGGGGAACACCTGCTTGAAGCAACCCTGGGAGTGAGAAGGAGCAAGAAGCACCATCCCATCCTCCAAAAGATGACACTGAGGCTTAGGCTCTTGAGGGATATGCCCAAGCTCTTCTAGAAACCAGCCCCCTAGGGTAACGACAGCAAGGATAGTGAATTCTTACTGAATGCTTGCCAGATGTGAGTCAATATTAAGTGATCAGCACGTGTTAACTAAGGAATGCTTACACCAATTCTCTGGGATAAAAACTTGCCATCCCCTGTTTCCTGTTGAGGTAAGGAAGAGGCACAGAGAAGTTAAGTATGTTATTCAAGGTAATAAAAACTGCCAGTGGTAGAGATAACCTGAGAGAAATCTGGCTTGAAACCTTGCATTCGTAACCACTCTATAATGTGCTTCTTAGGGGACTGGAATCAGGGTCCTTGCCTGGAGCCCCTCTTCTCTCGTCTGCACAAAGTGGCCTCTCCATAGCACAGGCTTCCAGCCATCTCTCAGCAGAGGTTCATGGAGGGCTAGCTTCTGGGGTGGGGCCCCAAGGCTCTAGGTCTTATGGGAATGTATTTTTCAGCAGGCCTTTCCTACACTGAAAGCGACTGCTGGGAACTCCATGCTGCTGCTGGGCCACATCCTGATATTGCTTGGGGGCATTTACCTCTTCTTGGGCCAGGTGAGGGCTCCTCTCCATTTCTCCACCCTATGTAGCGCCCAGTCATAGAAGCAAATCTAGTAGTCTGCTAGAGGGGCCTTACAGAGAGCTAACTACAGTCTCTTCACTGCTGGGTAAAGAGACTCCCACGCCCAGCTCCACCTAGGCCTCACCATAGTGGGTTCTGGCCTTGCCTTCTGAGGACCTGGTACCCTTCCTGCTATGCCTTCTGGGGTCCTTTCGGGTAGCAGATGACTTCTCTGATTCTTTGGCAGTCCAGACTCACCTCTGCCCTTAGGTCCCTCAACTAGCTGGAGCTTTCTTCACTTGTGGAGCACAGAAAGCTAATGGTAGATGGGGCTCAGCCCAATGCCCTCAGCAAGACATCTCAGTCCTGCAGCAGGCTTTCAGGAGACAGGCTAGATGCCAAGACACAGGACTTTCTTTGAGGAGGCAGAATATGGGCACAACACCTAGGTTGACAGGAATACGGGGTGCTGCCTGAGAGGGCAGAGGAGAGGAGGACAGAAATGACCTTTCCTCCTCTCTGTGTGAAGTATGCAGACTCTACATCTGAATCCATGGGGACCAGGAGGCCCCATGTTCAGGCTGGCCTCACATTCTTGAGTTCACGTGCTCCTCCTGTTTCAGCTTTCCAAGCAGCTGGGACTAGAGGTGTGTGTGCTGTACCTTCTTGGCTGCTCTGTTTGGAAAGCGTCAAGAGCTATCTCAGCCTTCATGAACCCCTCCCCCCAGGATTCAAAGCTATTCCCTCACTGGGTAGGGTGATATATATCTTCAACTACTGAAGGCCTGAGGCAGTAGAATCCTGTGTTAAAAGCCAGGTTGGGCTACACAGTGAAAGAAAACAAGGCTACTGTTTTGAGTCCTTTTGAGGTGCTACTGGCCAGGTTCCCACACTGGAATGCATGTGCGGGAGCTGGAATCCAGGCCCACAGGGGGCAGCCCTGCTGCCTTCTGAGTAGATAACACTTTTCACACCTCTTGGTTCTCTTCCCTCCTCCCCAGCTGTGGTACTTCTGGCGCCGCCGCCTGTTCATCTGGATCTCATTCATGGACAGCTACTTTGAAATCCTCTTGTACGTGAGTCCTGTTCCGTCCCCCCCAGCTGTCCCTGAGGCCTAGGTGTAGTGGGTGTGGCAGAGGGCACAGGCTAGTTTTAGGGCCCCAGGCATTTCTAGGGGTCCAGGATTGAAGTGTGTACCAGACCTGGGAGTCCTGGCTGCTGTCCAGCTTGGGCCCCTACATGCTCCCACCTTTGTAGTTCTGGTTGTGATGGTTACCTCTATGGGGCCTTCACTACACACCCACAGAGCCTGACTTTCCACATTGAGTCTCAATCACTGAAGACTGCCTTGGAGTCATGTATCATTATTATTACACCCATTTTATCATACTAGAAGTAGGGTGCCCACAGGAGAAATAACTTGCCCAGGGTGGAAGTTAGGTAGTGATTGGTCCAGCCTCAGACAGATAGAGCCATCTGAGGTGGGTGAGGCAGTAATGGTTGGTACTGGCCGTAGGAGTTTGGGGAATATTGCCAAGTGGCCGGGAAGCTGACTCAGATCCTATCTCCATCCAGCCTTGTCCAGGCTCTGCTCACAGTGCTGTCCCAGGTGCTGTGTTTCATGGCCATTGAATGGTACCTACCCCTGCTGGTGTCCTCCCTGGTGCTGGGCTGGCTGAACCTGCTTTACTATACACGCGGCTTCCAGCACACAGGCATCTACAGCGTCATGATTCAGAAGGTGAGAGATGAGGGTGGCCCAGATGCAGCCAGACCAGGGAGGGCTGGATAACACTGACCAGTGGATTCCTTTTGGCCTTATGAGGCAGGAGCTATTCTCCATAGCTAACTCAGACAGAGGACAGCACAAGCTGTTTGTCCATGTGCTATTTACCCAGACAACCACCCAACATCAATGTAGATCATGTATCTGGATGTCTACATGCATATGCAGATGTATGCAAATGTATGCAAGTGTCTACGAAGGAGTGTGTGTGTCCTTCATGAAGGAGTAGAGAATACACACATGCACATAGCCATTTCTCTGTGCCTACAGACATGGGGACATTTTCATGGGTATGCATCCATTTATTCCAAAATGTTTAGAAGTGCCCACTTTGCAACAGGTCCTGTTCTGCGTATTGGGAATACAGCAGTGAACAAAACAGATAAATCTTTGCTCTTCTGAAGCCGATGTTCAGTGCAGGAAATGAAATGACTAAGAAAACTCCCCAAGACATTGCTAACTACAAACTCCTATGAAGAAAACACATAGGACAATGTTAGGAAGAATGACTGGGGCGGTGGTACTTTATAGGGGATGGTCTGCAAGGGCCTTTCTCAACAGGGATTCCAAGTGGTTTTTTGTTTTGGTTTTTGTTTTTTGTTTTTATGCAGTTTTGGAGAGGTAACCCAGACTTTCATGAAAGCTAGGCAGGCACTCACCACTGAGATATTCCCACAGCCCATTAGTGGAGATCTAAAAGAATGAATGCTTAGCAACTCTCCTCTGCTGAAGGAACAATAAAAGCCAAGGGAAGTGGAGAGTGCTTAAGACAGCCAGGAAACGCAGTGGTGGGGAGAGTGAGGCACAGTGCAGGAGAGAGGGAGTGGGTAGGAGGTGGGAGCCTGGAATTTTAAAAAGTTATAGTAATACTGGGCATGATGGTACATGCCTTTAATCCCAGCACTCAGGAGGCAGAGGTTTGAGACCAGCCTGGTCTACATAGCAAATTCTAGGCCAGCCAGGGCTACATAGTGAGGCCCTATCTCAAACAAAACAAAATAATATGGTAAAATAGACCTAACATAAAATTTACCAATCAAATCATTTTAGATGTGCAGTTCAAGGGCATTTAGTACAGTCACATGTTTGTAGCCAGCCCCAGTCCCACCATCCGACTGTTCAGCTTTTTGACCCTGGAGAGTTTTAGGCAGGAACAATGTCACAAACTGAGGTAGATTTAATTTTTTTTATTACATTTATTTATTTAGTATGTGGATGTGTATGGGTGCATATACACTATAGCCTATGTGCGGAGGTCAGAGAACTTTGTAGAGTCAGTTTTCTCCTGCCACGTGGGTTCTGGAGATCAAACTCAGGTGGTCAGGCTGGAGCAAGCACTTTTTACCCACCAAACCATCTTGCTAGCCCTGAGGTATATTTTTAAAGATCCCACTGCTCAGTATGGCTCCATAAGACCTGTTTGTGCATTGCATGTCTGTGGGAGGGGGAGGACATGGACATGGGAACCATGCTCATGATATCTGGGGTGGTATGCGGCAGATTAGTTACCCAGCCTGTCCCCTGGGTTATGTGTTCCAGGTCATCCTGAGAGACCTGCTCCGATTCCTCCTGGTCTACTTAGTTTTCCTTTTCGGCTTCGCTGTAGGTAAAGGCTCCTTTTAACACACTCTCTCTCTCTCTGTTGCATGCATCTGTGTTAATGTGGGTTTTGTGTGCCTATGTACACGTGTGCAAAGACTGGAGCAGGACACGGAGTGTTTTCCTCTATAGCTGTCTACCTTATTGCCTTGAGACAGGGTCTCTCACTGAACTGGCAGTTTGCCAGTTTGGTTAGGCTGACTGGTCAAGGCACTTTCAGGATCTACCTGCTTCCACCTCCCTAATGCTGGGATTACAGGCATGCACAGTCATGCACAGTTTTCAATTTTTTTTCTTTCTTTCTTTTTTTATTTTGGTCTTTTTGAGACAGGGTCTCTCTGTAGCCCCAGCTGACTTGGAACTCACTGTGTAGACCAGGCTGGCCTTGAACTCACAAAGATGCACCTTCCTCTGCCTCCCGAGTGCTGGGATTAAAGGCATATGCCACCACATCCAGCCACAGCTTTTAATTTTTTAAAATTAATTTGTGTGTGTGTGTGTGTGTGTGTGTGTGCGTGTGTGTGTTGCACATGCCACAGCAAACATGAGGTCAGAGGACAACCTGCTGGAGTTGGTTCTCTCTTTCCATCCTGTGTGACTCAGTTCATCAGCCTTGGAAGCAAGTACCTTTACCCACTGTGCCATCTTGCCAGCCCCATGCCCAGTTTTTTACATCTGTGATGGAGAGTCAAACACAGGTCCTCATGTTTGCAAAGCAAGTACTCTTACCCACTGAACCATTTCCCCAGCCCAAAACCCCCCTCTCTCCTGCCCACACTACAGACTGCCTGTTGGTCTCAGGCTGAGGCCCCTCTCACTTGTTCACAGCCCTGGTGAGCTTGAGCCGGGAGGCTAGGAGCCCCACAGCCCCTCCAGGTCAAAACACCACAGAGACAGCACAGCCCACACTGGGCCAGGAGGAGGAAGGAACCCCATATGGGGGCATTCTGGATGCCTCGCTAGAACTCTTCAAGTTCACCATTGGCATGGGTGAGCTGGCCTTCCAGGAACAGCTGCGCTTTCGAGGTGTGGTGCTGCTGTTGCTGCTGGCCTATGTCCTGCTCACCTATGTCCTGCTGCTCAACATGCTTATTGCCCTCATGAGTGAAACTGTCAACAGCGTTGCCACTGACAGCTGGAGCATCTGGAAGCTGCAGGTACCATTAGTGAGGCTCCTGCCCCTTACCCTTAGGACCCTGATGATCTTGACCTACCCCAGTGGGGGCTGCTGAGGGCCCAGCACCCAGTTTGGTGGGCTCAGCTCAGCAGAAGTCCCAGATCTCACATCCATTCCTTCCTTCAAGGGTTATTGTGTAAGTGTAGAGTTGGGTAAGCTCAGAGGTATGATGTGCTCAAGACTATGTCTTGCACATAATAGGAGTTCAGTAACTCAGCTGCTATGACCATTGACTTTACTATTTATTTATTTATTTATTATTTATTTTGGTCTTTTTTGAGACAGGGCCTCCCTGTAGCCCCAGCTGGACTGGAACTCACTTTGTAAATCAGGCTGGCCTTGAACTCACAGAGATCCACCTACCTCTGCCTCCCAAGTGCTGGAATTAAAGGCATGCACCACCAAACCCTGCATAACATTATAATATTTTTTTGAGACAGAGTCTTACTGTGTATCACAGCCTGTCCTCCAGTTCACAGCAATCCCCCTGCCTCAGTCTCCTGAGTGTAAAGATTATGGGTATGAGCTACCATGCCTGAACATCAATGTGTCTTTTTTGTTGTTGTCTTTTTGAGACAGGATCTCCCTGTAGCTCTAGCTGGCCTGGAATTCACTATGTAGACCAAGCTGGCCTCAATCTCATAGCAGTTCGCCTGCTTCTGCCTCCTGGGTGCTGGGAATAAAGGTATGCGTCACCATGCCCAGCTGTATCAATGTGTCTTGAATGGTTATTATTGGTAGGGCTAGGTACTACTCACCCAGCAGAGAACAAGACCGAAACTCTACCCTCATGGAGCTCCATCCTGAGCTCCATTGTGCAAAATATGGCTAGATTTATGTGAGAGGAAGTGAGACAGCTTGGGGGATGGGCTGATGTGACAGTCACCTACAGAGAAGTGATAGCTGTATCTTAACTAGAGAAGGGCTGTGTAGGTCTTGGCCAGGGAGAGCATGGTCCAGGAGGCTGAATTCTACTGCCAAATCACTGCTGCCCTTGGGTCATTTCTTCCTTGAGCCTCAGTACCCTCATCTGTGAGGGTTGGGAAGTGCTGTGTATATAAGTATGCGCATGGGAGAGGTAGTGTGGGATTCTGGAGTGTGAAACAAGTCACTGTGGGGCATTCCTTATGTGCTCTGACTCCCCAACCACCACCTGAGGTGTGTTTTCTCAGTCTACAAATGGGGAAACTGAGATTCAGGGAGGATTAGGGCCTTACACCACACAGGCAGTCAGATAATGGAGCTAGATTTGAGTCCACATGCTTGGCAGACTTTGGGTTATATTGTAAAGTGCCCCGGGTGCCTCTTCCTGCAGGCAGTGTCCTAGGCTGCCCTTATGTATCCTTTGTCCCCAGAAAGCCATCTCTGTCTTGGAGATGGAGAATGGTTACTGGTGGTGCAGGAGGAAGAAGCAGCGGGCAGGGAAGCTGCTGAAAGTTGGCCTGAGGCAGGATGGTAGCCCTGATGAGCGCTGGTGCTTCAGGTGAGTGAAGTGGGCCGGAGAGGGCAGGGATCTTGCTGTCCCAGAAATTGCTGGGGCCTGCCTGCAGGATAGTGTCATGCTACTAAATGGCTGCAGTAGCCAGGTCTGGTGGGAGAGGCAAGGCTGAGGAGAACCAGGGTACTTCACCTGGGCAGCAGGGTAAGGGATGCTGGATCTCTCAGACACAGACCCAGCTCCCACCCTCCTTCCTGCTGCCATTGCCTGTGTCTGGTCCTGTGGTATAACCTAAGGTTCCCTCCTGGTGATTCTTGACTTTTCTCACCGAGAAGCCAGTGTTCTAGTCACCCTGGCTACTCTGTGCCCCCTTCCCTGGACTTCCCAGCCAGTCTGATCTTAGAGATATAGCCCCTTCAATGGAAACCGAGTCTTTCAAGGCTCAGAGAAAGATGGAATTGTCAGGAGAGGGAACCCGGTGACAAATGCCCAGACATAGCAAACACTTTTATGGGCAGTGCCTGAGCAAGGGGAGAGGATGAGGGTTTTATGCATGAAAAGCAATCATAAAAGAGGCCCAGAACCTGAAGAATACAGCTGTACCTGATCTCCATTCCTTGCCTCTGGTTGCTTGGGACAACCAGCCTGCTGTGAACAGCTGGGAGAGATGGATGCCTCTTCCCCCACATTGATAGCTGGTCTAATCTGACAACTTCAAGGACAGAGCTCATGGGATGTAGGTGGTCCAGCATCTTGTAGGGAAGGGTTAAAAAAGAAAATGAAATGGTCCTCCTCACTGTCCTTGGTATATTGGAGCACTGCAGTCCACTCACTTGGGGGCAGGGATCTGATCCCTCTTCTGGAGTAAAGTATGCTGGGCTGCTGGCTTCCTAGAGTTTCAGCGCTGTTTTGCCACCCACAGGGTGGAGGAAGTGAACTGGGCTGCATGGGAACAGACACTTCCCACTGTGTCTGAGGACCCATCAGGGGCAGCCATCTGTGGTGAGTAGCTGTGAGGCTAGAGCACTTGCCCTGGTGCATGTGAGCATGTGCTGTCGGTTTGCTGGGCCACACAACCTTGGAGAGTCTGGGGTGGGACCAAGAGCCCTGTTCTGTGGCTGCTTTGCAGTGGTGCCCACGCCCCCCTCCTCCAGCAGGGATTGATTGGTGCTTTAAGTGCCTCTCCCCTTTTCTCTGCCACCCCTGCTGGCCTGTCGGGGGAAGCTCCTCTGTTCTCAGTACTTCCTGAAACCCTCCCTTTTTACTTTGGGTTCTTCTCTATCTTCTATTGCTGTTCTAGTTATCAATTGTACCCTTAACTTTTTCAGCTGATTACTGAGGCCCTGCCCCATGTCAGGCCTGGGCTGGACTTAGGTTCCCAGTAAGGGACCAAGTTAAGAAGTATGTCCCATCTCCCATTGTGGGGATTCCACCCCCTCCCTGATCTAGGACCTTGAAGGCCTCTATGCCATACCTCTTATCTGATGCTAATGACCTCTCAGGCAGCCTCTCACCCCATGCCTCTTTTCCCACTATAAAATGTCTCAGCGTGCATCCCAACTTTCAGGGAAAGCTGCTCCAGGCCTGCCCCACTTCATTCTGAGCAATGTAGAAAACTTTACATGGCCCATACTACATGGTTCCTGAAGGGCCAGAGTCCTCAGTGCAGAGGTCAAGGCCCAAAGCTATTGTCCCATTCCTTCTCCACACCTCTGTCAACATGGTAGCCATTATGTGCAGCCACTCTTTGTATTGTTTCCTTGGCTCTGTCTAATGTGTCCTTCCTCCACTTAGGGTGCCCATCCCCACCCCCTTCCCTATGACTGTGTCCCCTCTCGAGTTTCCTGAGTACCTGTTTCTCCCCTGCTTTTCAGCATACCTCAAATGTTCTGGTTTCTGGCACACCCAGCTCTGGGGACCTGAAATTTCTGTGCAGAGACCCCTGACTGATCCATGTAGCGGTCTGGGAGATGCTGGCAGGGGGGAAGCAGGGAGAGGGGGCTCCAGGATCCTCTGCTATCCACAGAGCATAGTGGGCTTTAATGGCTATGGCCCCTTCCTGTTTCCCTGGAGCCTATCTCCAGGGGGCCCAGCCACAGTATGCCCCATTCTGTTTACAGGCTCTGCAAGGAACCCAACCTCCCAACCTGGGAAGGGCCGTGCCTTAGAGGAAGACTATCTGCCCCTCCAGGTGCTCCAGTCCCACTAATGGCCCAGAAGCAGCAGCAGGTTGGAGGGGAGTGGGAATCTTTTCAGCTATTCCTGCTACCTCTGAGGCACCTGAATTTTGGTGGAAATATATATTTTTCACAACTAAATCTTCTATAAGTATTATTTGAACAAAGTTACTACCAGTACTCTGCCTCTAGTAATACACACATCTCTGTGTGTGCCAATCTTGGTAGGGGCTAGAGTGCTCCTATTCTCACTTGTCATCCCTCAGCCCTGGGACTGTCCTCCCCTGGTGGCAGGCTGCAGGCTGACGGGGTCAAGGGTGGCATACAAACAAAGTTTTCCACCACTAAGCTGTCTGCCAGTCTCAAGCTCTGGATTACTGCTTTTTCACCTACTGGGCTTCGTGCTCAATTTCCTATCTCTCTACATCATTCTCTGTAGGAAAGCCTGAAGGGCCTTCTTTAAGACACAAGACATGCCATGCTTGAGCTTTTAAGACCTGAAAGCAGTATCCTCAGCCCTCCAAGGTTCTGCCTGAGCATTTCCAGACATCTTTCCCCGGGCACACCTTTTGCTTTGGGGGACTTAAAATCCTCAGTACTTGTTCTGGTTTGCTTCTTCATTGCTGTGATAAACACCATGACCAAAAGCAACTTGGGAAAGAAAGCGTTTATTTTAGCATACAACTCCCAGGTCATAATCCATCACTGAGGGAAGTCAGAACTCAAGGCAGAAACCTGGAAGCAGGAACTGAAGCAGTTGACCAACAGAGGAACGCTTCCCCTGGCTTGCTCAGCTACCATTCTTTTTTTCAGTCTTTTTGAGACAGGGTCTCCCTGTAGCCTCAGCTGTCCTGGAACTCACTATGTAGACTAGGCTGGCCTTGAACTCACAGAGATCTGCCTGCCTCTGCCTCCCAAGTGCTGGGATTAAAGATGTGCACCACCACACCTGGCAAGCTACCATTCTTTTACAACCCAGGTCCACCTGTCCAGGTATGGCACTGCCAACAGTGGACTGGGCCCGCCGACATAATCTAGCAATTTAAAAAATGTCCCACAGGCATGCCCACAGGCCAATCTAATAGAGATAATTTCTCAATTGAGGTTTGCTCTTCCCAGATGTGTCAAGTTGACAACCAAGATTAGCTACTCAGTACTTTCTCAAAATTCGTCATGAAGGGTGAGGAACCTGATGTTTGAACCCTTGACTTGGCTTTTGCTAGAAGCTTCTATTACCTGAAGCTCCCAGAAGATAAAAAAAAAAAAAAAAAAAAAAAAAAAAAAAAAAGCTGCACTTGTGCCAAAGGTTCTATTTTTTTTTTTCAAAATTAAGAATTAAAATGTTGTAAACTAAAGTGAAATTATCTTGGGCTATTTTTTCCTCTCTCTCTCTCTCTCTCTCTGTGTGTGTGTGTGTGTGTGTGCGCGCGCACTAAAAGAGGGCACTGACTCTCCTGGAGCTGGAGTTACAGGTGGGTGTAAGCCACCTGATATGGGTGCTGGGAACCAAACTCAGTTCCTCTGTAAGAACATTAAGTGCTCTTAACAGCTGAGCCAGCTCTCTAGCCCTTTTGGGCTATTTTTGGTACCTGTGAAAGCCATCCTGTCTATGCCTGTGTCTGACCTAACATCCTTGTTACCACCAAAGCCTTACAATGCATCCTTACGCAGACCACCAGGTTTCATCAATCCAAAAGCTAAGAATGCCATAGACAGCATCTGAAACCTATAGCTGTTTTCCCCTTTGCGGTCAGTTGCCTACCTGTGATCCCTACATAAAGCATTACAGAAATATTTTATATAACCAGTTCTATAGTGGAACATGGTATTTGGGTAAACCTGAATCTGTGTTCCTGGTCTGTCACTCATATTTGGCTCCAGAATAAACCCTCTTATTCCCTTTAAGGTGAGAACTCTGTTTTTGTGTCAACACTTCCCTCCCCTCCTCAAAATCCTAGGTTTCTCAGACCAGCTAAAATGCTGTCCCATAACCTTCCAGTTCTCTTGGTACACTGCATACAAAGTGCATACAGGGACTGACTTGTTTTTTTGTGTTGCTAGATGAACTCAGTATATATTATAGGCAAGTGCTCTATCAGATCCTGCACTGAGGTGTTTTGAGAGAAGGTCTCTTTCTGTAGGCCAGGCTGGTCTTGAAGTCATGACAATCCTACTCCTAGGATTATAGGCATAGTATCCCTGGCTGGCTTCAAATTCTATATATAGATGAGGAAGCCCTTGAAATTTTGATTCTGCTGTCGCCATATCTCAGTGCCTGAGTGTACCACCATACTCAGTTTATGAAGTAATGGGGATTGAACCAGGGGCTTTTTGTATGCTAGGCAAGCACTGTACCTCCTAAACAAAGTCCTCAACCCTTAGGGGAGAAACCAGACCTATTCCTAGGCTTAAAGAGGCAGCATCAGCAGTTTTCTATTGCAAATGCAATAGGGCCCGAGGAACAAGTCTCTTGAGTCACTCAGAAGAGGAAAGGGGAGGGGGCAATGGAAGTACACCCAAGCAAAACCTGTTACTCCTTAACGATCTTTCTAAAGAAAGTGATCAGGGCGGTCGGTGCGCAGGGCCATGACAGGCTCGGTGCATATTCTGAAACAGCTGTGGCGCTTCCAATGGTCCCGATTATTAGATTTAGCAGCATCTACCATTACTGAATGCTTGCCGTGTGCCATGCAGTGTCAAGCGCATTATCTTAGACAAGCCTCAGACCTACTCATCCCCCGCCAGCTCTCCCTCCCAGGTGCATACTTCCGCAGGCGTTAACAGGCAGGATTACACGCATGCGCTGCCAGGCCCAACTGCGGTTTGAAAAGGTGATTTACCGCAACTCGGCACGCTCTTCGCTACCCAGAATTCCCGGCTCTGTGGAAGAGACCACCCGCTCAGCAGAACGGGGGATTCCGGAGGAGCGAGGCCCGTCAGACCGCTGGAAGTTCCCGTGAGCTATTGCCCTCCTCACCCTTCCTATGAAGAGTGGGATATTCCGACTCCTTAAGGGCCGTGCGCACAGCCGCCTTACCCTCTTTGCTGCAGCGGTCATGATAGCTTCAGGCCTTGATCGTAGCGGGTGGGCGCTGGTGGCTGGCCTTTTCCTCTTGCTGCCTCCGGAGCCTGGGGGCTACCTAGCCCGGAACTGGCAGGCCGAGGCCCCTGCGCAGAGCTGAGGATGCCGGGTAGGTCGGGGGAGGTCTGCATCCTGGGGCGTCGCACGTGCGCGGCCGCGAGGAGGATGGACTGGACTGCGCTGATGAAACTAGTCTTAGGAAGTGCCGTCCGAGGCGATAACTGACGACGTCTTACTTACCTGACTGCAGTCTTAAGTCGGCACAGTTGATTGTTGAGTGACTACGAATTTGCCCTGAATGCTTGTCCTTTCTAACCTTTCAGACTGCGGAGGCACAGACCGTCCAAAGGAACAGCGTCTCACCATGAGGTAAGAGCTTCGGGGAGGGGGCATTAATGCGTGCCCACAAAGAATTACGTCATTGCCAAGTGGGTGGGATTTTTCTTTTTTGAAACAGGGTCTCCCTGTAGCCCCAGCTGGCCTTGAGTTTAGAAATCTGGCTACCTTCCAAGTGCTGGGGATAAAGGCGTGGTGGCCCGGCCTTTTTACCTATAAATTAGATTTAACGTTATGGGCTTTGTTTTTGAAGTCAGTTAGAAGCTGTGGCTACAAAATCTGAGTCCTAAAGTAAATAACGTTTAAAAACATTTCATTTTATGTGTATGAGTGTATTGCCTGAATGTAAGTGCACTCGTGTTGTGCAATACCTATGGAAGTCAGAAGAGGGTGTTGGATCCTTTGAAGATGCAGACAGTTAGCCTCCATGTGGGTGCTGGGACTCAAACCTGGGTCACCTCAGCAAGAGCAGCCAGTGCCCTTAATGGCTGAGGTGACCCAGTGCCTAGCCATCTGTAGCGCCCTAAAGTGGAAGTACATTTAAATTCATGTTTTATACAGAAACATTCCTACCCCTAAAAAAAATGTCATCAGTAGATAGTTTGGAAACAATCACTAGTTGAAGTGTTCCTGGGCAGTGGTGGGATGCTTGGCTGCTGTGATGAAATCACTAGTAGGAAGTGCCGTCAGAATCGACAACTGACGATAACTACTTTGGGCTGACTGCAGTCAACAAACCCTCACCATTTACTGGTAATAGGATTAACTTGTTCAGAACTGACAGTGTTTCTCTTTTCACAGAGGTTGAAATTGGGAGTTAAGGATGGGTCTTCAGTTAAGTGTTAGAGCTGACAGCCTTGGCTTCCTATGAGGTAAGTTTAGTCTTAGACCGTAGTTGGTTATGTGGGAGTAGAAGATGATTGGAGGGTTAAAGCAGAGTGGGGTATATAGTCAGAAGGGATAATAATTTGTTTGGTTTATTCTTGGGGCAAATTACCTGTGAACCCTGAGGTGTAGTGTAGTTTTTCCCAGTTGTGAAAAAAACAGGAAACTCAATTTGAGCTAACAGAATGGCTCCGTGTGTAAAGACAGCTTTGCTGAGTTTGATCCTGGGATCCCAGCAGGTTTTACTCTGACCTCCATATTCTTGCTGGGTGCACACAGCACAAATTTCAAATCTTCAGTTTGTGATTTAAAGTGGTGCGACTGGCACGTTGTAACCTGTAGAACTGTTAATTAGGACTAGTAGACCTATGCTCACTGTTATGAAAAAGTATTCCAGTGAATATATTGAAAGTATTTCTTGTATGTGTGATGGTCAGAGCAACTCATTCTACCATGGCGGTCCCACAGATTGAACACATTGGCAGGTTTGGTAGCAGATACTTTACCCATTGAGCCATCTCATGGAGCCTCTAAAAAAATTTCAAATTTTATTTTAATAACATACGTTTCGGTGAAGCAATCATTAGCAGCAACCTATCCTGTTTGCATAATCCATCCTTAGGTGTATGTGTGCACTTGCCTGGCTCCTACTTTTGAGATCTGGGATGCAGTTTGAGGTGGCAGCAGCCCAGGAGGTAAGTCCTGATTTTTTTCAGTGACTCCCTCACAGTATAATCACTAAACAGCTAGTTGATATTGCTTTGAAGAAAAAGGTATCAAATGATGAAATCACCCAAAATAGCTGGAATTACCGGCAGATTGGTGGTGGTGAGCCTACGGTTTTCTGAAGATACCCTGAAGATACTGTTGGGGATGGTGCTGGTTGGAGCAGAGGTAATACTGAAATTTAGTTTCTTTGCAGGCTATATTCTCAGGATGATCAACTCAAGATTCTGAAAGCAGTTTCCAGCGTGGGCACAGAAACACTCCAAGAGATGTCTGACAACTTGGGTTCTAGGACAGGCACATTTGGAACCATTCACTAACCTGTCCAATAGCTTCTGCACCTTTTAATAAATTTTTCTTACAAAATTGCCATTGCATTGGGAGTTCATTAAACCAAAAACTTACAAAATGTCTGCAGTTACTAACTAGCACTAAAATAAAAGCATAGTCTTTGGTATTGGTTCTTAAAAATGTGTATTTGAAGAAAGTTGACTAGTGTCAGGTGTTGGAACAGTCCAGTTTAGCACTCAATCCTGTAAACTTCTGGTTAGTCTAAGCTGTTTTCACAACTTAAGACCTGGGGCAAAGATTGCAAAGCATTTAAGGCACCCATACTTCATTCCTGTCTCTTGAAGCATTTGAGTCATAACTTGGCCATATGCAGTACCTTGCATACCCTCTTATCACAGCCCCCGTCTTGCCTAGAGCCTATATATAACTTGCTTGGCCTCCACCAGGTTTTGGCTATCAACAATTGAATGTGGGGGTTCTTTGCCTAGAGGGATTTTAAAACTAGTGGAGCCATGTTAGTGTTTAAAGGATAAGGGGCAGGTATGAGACTTCATTTTAATTTAGCCTTTTAGCTAACTTGGGTTGCTCTTCAGTGGGTCTGAAACTCAACTGGTGAATTCAGATTGTGCTGGCTGAGGGATGGGAGGAATTAGGCACATTACTGTTTTAAGCAGTAAGATCACAACAAACCAGTATGCAGGTCTGCCATATACCACCATAAAGCCTATATGGGCTTCAGAAACTAAGCTTTAGGAATTGGTATTAGGTAGGCCGCCAAGGGTCTTAGTCTGGTAACTAATCTCAGTCTCCCTTGAATGGGGATGTGCTCACTATCTGGCTGAATAGGAGAGTGCTTAGTGAGTGGCCTTGTGTCCAGCTGCACCAAGAGTGGGCTGAGCCTTTTGAGCTAGGGCTGAGCAGATACTAGGCCTTGGGAGAAAGGACCAAGGATTAGTACAGAGTCCCCTTTCCCAGGTGATGAGTGTCTTTCTGTGGGTTGGGCTGTCTGTACTTTAGCAAAACAGCCTGTGCTTTCTGAGAGGAGCCCCTAATCTGCCATAGCTGTTGTGCCTTGCAACACATGTCACGTTTGAGTTGTCTCCCTGCTTTTAAGGTCTTTGGCAGGTATCATAGGGTCTTCTCCAAGGTTCTGCTGACTGGCTGTCCCTTCCTTGGCCTCCTCCCCACTACCAGGCCCCTCTCCCAGCTCCAGGATGGTTGGTAGATGGCCCTGTTTTGGAGAGCGCTTGCGTAGGCTGAGCAGGAAGGGCTGGGGCAATGAGAAGATGTCCACATTGTTGCCCAGGTCAATCCATGTGACATTGGGGAACTTGCTGGGGTCCTTCAGGGTGTCGGTGAGATCCCGAAGCAGGGCCCGAGTCAGCCGGTTGCCATTGAGGGCTAATGTGGTGAGGCGAGGCAAGGTGCTGAGTGCTGGCAGCAGCTGCAGGACCATGTCGTCTGTGAGGCCCGTGAAGCCCAGCTCCACACTGTCCACCTGTTCTCCACAGCGCTGGAGATAGCTGGTTACCCGTTCCAGATCACGTGAGGTCAGTGGAATGCCTGACAGATCTACCATGTTGTCTGGGGGGTTCCCGGCTAGGAGGGCCTTGAGGCTGAAGGAAATAAGGGACAAGCAAGATTGAGCAAGTAGGGCAGGCCTTTTTCAGAGGCAGCCTCTGCTCCACTCTGACTCTAGGGGTCATTTCTGTCACTTGTTAGGATGGAGAAACAAGGGAATCTCTTGTCCTGGTAATTCTCCAGCATTCTGGCCAGGGTGAGCAGAGTGGCCAGAACCCGAGGTTCCAGACTGCCATTCTGCAGGTCCTCAGGGGAAAGTCTGTTTCCAGATGCTTCAGTATTCTAATGCTTTTGCTTCCTACCCTTTGACCTCTAGCTAGTGCTTCAGCTAGTGCTTGCCTCAAAAATAGAGCTACTGGGGCTAGAGAGATGGCTCTGCAGTTAAAAACACTGGCTGTTCTTATAGAGAACCCAGGTTCGATTCCCAGCACCCATGTGGCAGCTAACAACTGTAACTCCAGTTCCAGGAATCCGATGCCGTCTGTCCTTGGGCATTGTATGACAGATGCACTTACTTACATGTGGGCAATACACGCATAAAAAATTAAAATAGAGGGCTAGGGGGCTGGAGAGATGGCTCAGCGGTTAAGAACACTGGTTCTTGCAGAGCCTGAGTTCGAATCCCAGCACTCACATGGCAGTTAACAACTGTCCATAACTCTGGTTCCAGGGGATCTAACACCCTCTTCTGACCTCCATGGCATTGCACAACACAGGTGCACTTACCTATATGCAGGCAATACACGCATACACATTTAAAAAAAAAAAAAAAGATGGCTCAGAGGTTAAGAGCACTGACTGCTCTTGTAGAGAATCTGGGTTCAATTCCCAGCACCCATATGGTGGCTAACAACCATCCCTAACTCCAGTTCCAGGGATCCAATGCCCTTCTGACCACGGCATTGCACCATGTGGCTGCACTTACATAGAGGCAGGCAACACACTCATACACATAAAAAATAATAAAATATCAGGGAAAAAAAAGAGCTACCAGTTACCACAGGGCTTTCTGGAACAGAATCCTTGCAGCCTATGGAAAAGTTTTCTGTGGGCAGAGGACGAGTAATGTCTGCTCTGTCACAGTTATTCGCTTGGACTAAGCTAATACCACTCTCAGATGGCAGCTGCCCTGCCTCCAGGAGTGGCACAAAGTAGCTCAGGCCTTTCAGGTTTATCCTCCCCACCAGCTGGGGAATCCTCAGGGAGTGTCTCATAAGAAAAGGGTGGGGAAGGCAAAGGGGCTGCTGGAGGCTTAATGCTCTCTACCCCTTCCTTTCCCTGCTGTGCTCTGCCTTGTTTTGGAGCCCAGACCACTTGGGCTCCCCTGCTCCCATTGGTGAGATGCCCATTCTCTGAGTTCCAAGTGCCCCAAGCAGGCCCTGATGCCCCAACCCTAGGGATGCACACAACCTGCTGCAGGAGCCTCACCAGAAGCCTTGCCAGACTAATCTTGGGTTCTTCTGAAGCTGGGAGGCTGTCCAAGTTCCCTCATTTTGCGTCCAACTTGAGTTCAACCCCAGGGAGTTGAAGGTAAACTCTCAAGGCATGAGATTTAACTGCTTGGAATCCTGCCTGGCATTTGTTTAGCATGATTTAAGTGTTGGGTTCTATGATCAATGCCATTAACAAAGCCAGCCCAGCATACTGAAGAAAGTGTGATGGTTAAGTCTGCACTTTGGAGTCAGATAGGCAGACATGGGTTTGAATCTACCCCTACCACTTACCAGCTTCAAGATCTTGGTCAGTCAATCTCCTACCTTAGGCACAACAACAAATGTTTCTGAAGCTCCTACTATGTGCCAAGCCCTGTCCTAGGCACTGGAATCACAATGGTGAACAAGAGCCCTGTTTTCCTTCTATCATGGAGGATACAGAACAAATAAGATACCAAAGTAGCTTTAGGGACATGGCTATACAGGGAAGGCTTCTCTGAGGAATATTTGAGCTGATGTGAAGAAAAAGAAAGTTTGGGCCATTAAAAGGGTTAGTTCAAGCCAGGTGTGGTGGTGCACTCCTTTAATCCCAGCACTCAGGTGGCAGAGGCAGGCAGATCTTTCTGAGTTCAAGACCAGCCTGGTCTACATAGTTCCAGGCCCCAAAGAGCTGATTCAGAGTTCCAACTGAGGGAATGCCAAGTGTAAAGGCAATTGGCAGGAAAGGTTGATGTGTGTGTGCTGTGTGCGTGAGCCATCAGGAAGGCCAGTGTGGCCTAGGAGAGGTAAAGAGGGAGATGGGAGGACAAGGTGGGTGAGGGCTGACTATCCTGATGGTTACACAGTGCCTTGTTTCAATTTCATTCAAGCATGATGAGAAGCCACCTGGGAGGAATGAGCAGGCTTCATTCACATGGCTCCCAAGTGGAGACTGGACTGAGCCTCTGTGTATGCACTGGCAGACAGAGGCCCTAGCTGGGCATGGTGGCACACTGCCTGCAATTCTGGCACTTGGGAAAAAGCAGAGGCAGCAAGATTATGAGTTCAAAGCTAGCCTGGGTGCCATATATATATTAAAAAAAAAGTTGTGATGGTGGAGGAGGAGCTGGAAAGGTGGCTCAGCAATTAAGAGTTCAGTTTCCAGCACCCACATTAGGTGGCTTTCAGCTTCAGGGAATCTGTCTCCTCTAGCCCTGCAGGGTACTTGCACTGATGTGCACATACACACATACACAAAATTAATATAAAAATCTCTTTAAAAGATGCCCCTGGGTGCTAGCGGAGCTCAGATTTCCAGTTTCCAACTTTTCAAGAGTAAAGAAATAGTTCATAATCAGGTGTGGTGGCATGCGCCTTTAATCCCAGCAGAGGCAGGCAGAACTCTTGAGGACAACCTGGTCTACATAGCAAGTTCTAGGCCAGCCAAGGCTACATAGTGAGACTCAAAAAAAAGGTGGGGTCACAAAGCTGCCTTGTGGCATTCCAGGTCCCCTAATGTCCTGTTCTGATCTTTGGCCCCTCCAGCCCTAGCCCTGTGGAGTTACTCAATGTCCACGTGGGAGGACTCCCCATAATTCATGCCCTTTCCCAGATTGGGTGTGGTGAGATCCCTTTGGGTGTGGTGGGATCCGGAAGGAAAAGAGGCTTCAGAATGTGCCCTTGTCTATGAGGGAGGTGTGATGGGTAGTTTTAATTGTCCATTGATATATAATCTAGAATCACCTGGGAAGAGTCTCAACGAAGGACTGTTCAGATCAGGTTGACCTGTGGGCACATCTCTTGGGGACTGTCTTGACTACATGAATTGATGTAGGAAGACCCAGACTAAAGTAAGTGGCACCAGTCTCTGGATTTGGGTCCCGGACTGTTTAAGAGTGGAGAGAGGAAGCTGAGAGTAAGCACGCAAGCATCCATTCTCTGCTCCTGACTGTAGATGTGACAGGCTGCTTCAAGTTCCTAACACCTTGACTGTATGGATGGACTCTGACCTGAAATTGTATGCCAAGTAAGCCCCCCCACCCCCCTTTTTTTTGGAGACAGGATCTCCCTGTAGCCCCAGCTGGCCTGAACTTGCTATGTAGACCAGGCTAGGCTGGCCTTGATCTCACAAAGATCCACTTGCTTTTGTCTCCCAAGTGCTGGGATTAAAAGTGTACGCCACCACACATGGCTTAAACCTTTCTTGCCTTCCTGCCTTACAGTTGCTTTTGTCAGGGTGTTTTATCATAGTGACAGGAAACAAAACTAAATCAGGAGGGAACAGTCCTGTCCTCTGCAGTCTGTTGGGAACCACCAGGATGATCTGGGAGCAGCCCTGGGTCTTTGCCAGAGTCTGAGCAGGCAAGTCACTACGTGTGTCATTTGCAAGATGGCAGGAGTGCTTCTCCCTGTGCTCGGGAAGCCTGCCTTCCCACATGTACTCCACTTGCTTCCTACCTTGAGGCCTGTTCTCTGTGGTGCCACATGCCCTCTATCCCCTGAGTCTTTTTCAGGGGGTACAAAGCTCTGGAGTGTCCTCACTACTGCATGTCCAGAACAAAGCTAAGACTGTTGGGTACCCTGGCAGGACATCCCAGAGAATTTTCTGGGAGGGGGTTTAAGACAGGGGTCTTACAATGTAGTCCTGGCTGGCCTCAACTTGGGGTAATCCACTAGCATCAGCCTCTTGAATACTGGGATTACAGACATGCACCACCCTGCCTCCAACCCAGAGAACTTTTAACACATTAGGAACTAGAAATTCTTCTGTCCCATCCTAGGCTGCCCCATCTGAGGCCCATCTTCCCCAATTCCCACCCTATACACCAAGGACCTCTCTCATGTATCTGGAATGTCCAGGCTGTTTCTCTGATCCTTAAATCCTTCTTGATTTTCCTCCTTCAAGCAGGCTTCCTAGACTTCCCCTCTGGCTTGGGCCCTTCCCTCAGCACACTGCCCAGGGAGGGTGTCAGTCAGCAGGGCCAGGGCAGTACCTGCTACGGGGGGCTGCCACTCACCAGGCCTGCGGCTTCCTCTTCACCAGCCCTCGATGCCTCCTCCACTGTGAGTGGGGGCTAAGGTGATAGGTCAGCTGCCGGCACAGCTTCTCCATGGCACCCAGTGCATCACCTTCCTGCAGAGGCAACCACAGACACAGGTCCAGCAATGAGAGGTGCCCAGGTCCCCACTCCAGGTTTCCTGGCTTCGGGAGAAGAGCTCAGCATCATAGGGGAGGCCCTCTCTGCTGGCCCAGGTAAGTGCCCTTGGCAGGAAGCAGAAGGTGTAAGCTAGCCCATACTTCCACTTGCACACTGGTATTAATTTTTGTGAATTAGTTGCTATTACTGAAAAGTCTGCCTTTTTTAATGCAAAAAGTCTGGATTGCAGGTGATCTGGCAATGATTAGCTGGAGCGGACCCCTTGAACACGGCACACTATGGTCCCTGGCACCCCAAAATGTTCAAATGTTTAGGGTTATTCTGCTTACTTGTTCAAAATCTTTGAGCACTTACTAAGAAGCAGGGCTATGGTTGTAAACAAATGTTCTTGTATTTCGCATAATAAAGTGACTTTTTTTTCCTTTACTTACGTTTTTCTACAAAGTGGGAAAATTAAAATCTGAGATGCCCAGGTCTTTCCCAGTGCAATTCATCCATTTAGACTGCCTGTTTGGTTCATTAACATTTGTGTTTGTGATCCTGGGGCCATGGGCTGAGCTGTGTCATGTCTCTCCAACAATTACATATTGATTTCCTAACCCCTAATACTTCAGATTGTGACTGCATTTTAAGATGGGGTATTTACCAGGGAGGAGGTGCATGACTGTATGGAAATAGTCCTATAGGCGCCTGGGACCCTTCTCATACAAACCTACAGCAATGGTGTCAACATGCACAAAACCCATGCAAACTTAGGTAGACAAAAACCCAGCATAGAACTGTGGAAATGAATAGCAGGCCCCAATCTTAGTTGAAGAATTACTGGCAGCTGATGACTGCTGGGTGAGGAAGAGCTGATCTTCTTAAAGGGAAGGACTCTAGATAGACTGACTAGACCTCAGTGGATGAACTTGCACTGAGGGACATCTCAGGACACAAACTTTACATAATAGGCCTTAATACAAATGAGAGAATGTATGAACTCCAGTGGGGGTGCTATGGGAGTGTGCCAAGGGGGAAAAGGCTTATAAAAATGATTTTATGTATGAAATACACAAAATTTCAATAAAATTTTTTTTTAAAAAGATGGAGCACTTAAAAATAAAAATAAAAATGAAGCCACATGAGTAGGCCTTAGTCCAATGTAGCTGTGCTTAAAAGTGAGTAGGATGAACACATGTGTAGAGAAAGGCCCATGGGAGGACATGAGGAAAAGACTTTACAAGAGGCTAGGGGAAGCTGCAGGAGAAAACAAACCCTCCAATCTTGGTCTTCTGGCCTCTACAACAGTGAGAACATAACTTTCTGTCATTTAAGCCACTGGAATATATACTGGTTTACTTGTGTAGAAATATTTAGTGGAGAGACTATATCCATCTCAAGGGGAGTCATTTGGAACATAGCCCCTATGCCAGATCTGAGCTGGTAGAGGAGCATGAGTCCCAACCTGGGAGTTGATGGCAAGAGTGTGCTCTTGTCAGAAGGCCCAGTGTTGAGGGCCAAAAGCCAGCAAATTCTGGGGTTCCAATGCAAACCAGCAGTGAGGCGGCCGCTGAAGTTCAATATGTTAACTCATCTGAGGCCTACTTTTCAATTGTGATTACCATTGTCATTCTAATGGAGAAGCAACAACCTCTTAAGTCATTCAGAACATGGACTTGGGGTCAAAGTATGTATGTTTAAGTCCTGGTTTTGTCTGTGACCTTGAGCAAATCACTTGACATGTCGGTGCCTTGAATCCCCATCTGTGAAGAGGTAACAGCACTGGCTTCACATGGGGTTTGGGGAGGATTAAATGTATCAGGTGCTTTGTATAGAACTCAGCATGTAGTATGTCTCTAGGAATGCTTGCTCAATGAATACAGGTTGTACTCATGGACATATCTATAAATCCAACTAATCGCATCTCAAGAATATCCAGAAGAGAACTGTGTTTGTCCTGAACACATACAGGCTTCCTTTTCCTGTGATTACGTCCTAAACAATATAAAAAGTCTTTCTATAGCATTTACCCTGCACTGGGAATGCTAAGTAAGCTAGACAACGTACATAGGAGGGTGTACATGGATGTACATTTTATGAAGGGACACATGTATCTGTGCATTTGGTGCCTGCAGGGGTCCTGGTACTCATCCTGAGCTTCTGTGCTAAAGAAGGAAGGTCATAGGTGGGAATGGTGGCCCTTGCCTTTAACCCCAGCAGAGAGGCAGACAGAGTTCAAGGCCAGCCTGGTCTACATTCCAGGCCAGCTGGGGCTACAGGGAGACCCTGTCTCAAAAAGACCAAAAAAAAAAAGAAGGAGGAGAAGAAAGGTCATTCTTACCTGGGCTCAGATTTAAACTGAGTTTTAAATACTTTTTATTATTTATTATTTTTATTTTACGTGTACAAGTGTATTGCCTGCATGTATTGAGTGCAACTGTGTCGTGCAATGCCGCGGAGGTCAGAAGAGGGCGTCGGATTCCTCTGGAACTGGAGTTAATGACGGTTAATAGCTACCATGTGGGTGCTGGGAATTGAACCCGGGCAACCAATGCTCTTAACCACTGAGCTATCTCTCCAGTCCCTTAAGCTGAGTTTTAAAGGGTAGATGGGTTAGTAATTAAAAGAAATTATATTTATTAATTGTGCATGAGTGTGTACTTTCATTTATAAGAACAAGCCACAGTGTGCATCTGGAGGTCAGAGGACACCTTGTGGGAGCCAGTTCTCTCCTTCTACAATGGAGGTTTCAGGGATTGAACTCAGGTTGTCAGGCTTGGTTGACATCAAGCGCCTTTAACCCACTGAGCCATCTCATTGATGAGAAAGGAAATGAGACGTCCCCACATGAGGGGCAAGAGTTTGTGGAGGGCAGTGTTACAGGCATGGGGGCAGAGAAGAATCTGGCCAGCTCCATGCTTCCACTTGTCCAAGTTTTCCTCATCCCTTACCTGGATTACTACACTCCGGATGCCAGGCTAGAACTTCACAGAATCCCCACAACATTTCAGAGCAGCAAATACTTTCATCATCCTCACTGTACTGAGGAGGAAGCTGTGGCTGACAGAAAGACATGAGAAGAGACTCCAAGGAAGTGGACAGAGAGGAGGCAAGAGGTCGGGGGGCGGGGGGCGAGGTGCCTGAAGAAATGAAACATGAGAGGCCTGAGATTGGTGAAACTGCTCTGGAAGGGACCCTCGGCCTCTGGTTCTTCACAGCCTCCCAGCTCCCTGTTGCTTCAGCCTGGCTGACAAACTGCAATCATCTGACCCTCTGGGCAATCTTACTGACAGTCTCTGGAGTTGACATGGGATCCCTAGACTTAGATTTTTGCTTAGGCTAGTCACATGGGGGTGGGCAGTGGGTGCAGGTGACATAGGTGGGGGATGCATCATGGGGTCTGCAAGGGAGTCAGCAGAGGGGAATGGAGGGTGAAATTTGCATCCTTGGATTTTCTTACTGGGAGATGGGGAAGGGGGAAAGCTGAAGGTGGAGAAGGAGACTGAGGGCCATGTCCATTGAAGGGGCTAAAAGAGACAGAGGTCATATACCAGAGCAATGGTCCAAAGAACAGAGAAGGTGTGGGCAGAATGTGGATAAAGGGATCGGGGATTTGAGCTAGAGACCTGGGCAGAAGGCAAGGGGCTTGTGACAGTACTGTAAACCTGATAGAATTAGAATCACCAGGGAGATGGGACTCTGAACATGCTTGTGGGGGATTTTACCTTGATGACACAAATTGAAGTGGGAATCTTCCCACTGAGAATGGCACCATCCATCCATTCCATTCCACGATGGATCCTGGACTGCACAGAGAAAAGAAACTGAGAAGCAGCATGCATGCTGTTTCCTGATTGTGTGAGCCATGTGGCCATTTGCTTCAAGTTTCTGCTGCCTTGGCTACTGTGAGCTGGAATAAATCACTTCTCCCTTAAATTGTTTTTGTCATAGTACTTATCACAGCAGCAAAAAAAAAAAAAAAAAAAAAACTAAGCTAGGGCTTCAGAGGAAAAGCAGGTGAGAAAAGGCAGAGTGGGAATGACCAGCTTATGTGGGGCCACATTGAGTGGGAAGAGCCCATAGCACCTCCAGCTGCGACTGTGGGGCTGGGCACATTCCTCAGATCTGATTGAACCCCTGGCCATAGAATGAGCTGAGGGAGAAGTGGTGGGAACACCGGCCAAGGAGGCCAAGGCCTAGAGAAACAGAAATGAGGGGGACCTGGAGGAGGGTGGCTCATCAGTCACCTCTTGAGGTCATTGGATTGCCAGTGAGAGCCTTCCCCAGTACAGGCTGGTGAGGGTGGGACGTAATGGTGGGGGCTGATAATGGTGAAAAGCTGAATTTGGAGGCAAAGAAGAGAGACAGAGGTGGTACATCTACAGCTGTGATTTTCCATCTTGGAACCCCCCCCCCGGGGGGGGCTTCAAAACCCCTGACACTAGTGATGGGTGGCAACCTGGCAGAGGGATTAAAATAAAAAAAATATTTATTGGGGCTGGAGAGATTGCTCAGTGGTTAAGAGTACTAGCTGCTCTTACAGAGGACTGATCTTGCAGTACCCACATGGCAGCTAACAACAATCCTTAACTCCAGTTCCAGGGAATTCAACGCCCTTTTCTGACCTTCATGGGCATTGCACAACATGGATGCACTTACAAACATGCAGGCAATACTCTCATACACATAAAATAAAAATAATAAATAAAATATTTAAAAAATTCTTTTATTTTATGTGTATGAGTGTTTTGCCTGCTTGTGTGTAAGTACACCACATGCATGCAGTACCCACAGAGGATCTTGAAGGTTCCTCTGCAAGATCAGTCAGTGCTCTTAACTGCTGAGCCATCTCTCCCAGGCCCTTGTATACTAACTTAAAAAAATAATTGGGGGCCGGAGAGATGGCTCAGTGGAGAGCATACGCCTCAGGTTCAGTTCCCAACACCCACATGGCCGACAACCATCCATAACTCCAGTTCCAGGGGATCCCATA